TTGCCGAAGCTGGAACCTCCTAAAATCTTCATTTGAATTCGTTGTTTGTCAAATGAACCCCGCTTATTGTTTATTTAGGATTCTCTGGCGTCAGAACTTTTGCCTCGAGCGCCAAAATAATGCATAAAAAAAAACTGAGTTGGAATATCAGAAGGCATGCACCTGCATGTTTATTTGCATTTGCACTTTTAAAGTCGAACATAGAACTGGTGACTGAGAAGCCTTCAATTCGATTCTTATACATCTGCGCTATCCATGGGATTATAGGGTGTGCGGTTGGTGTAACGGATTGCGAATCGGAATGAAAAATCGGAGAACCGAGTTCGAATTCCAGTCGAGTTTCTTATATTCCCTTACGCGCAGAAATCCATGGGAAAGGTATGAATCCATATCTTGACACCCAGCTATGCGTTAAATAGGGGGAATTGTACAACGAAAAGTCAGTTATCTCTAAAAAAAAAAAAAAATTTATAATGCAATATTCGCTTGTATAAAGAAAAATTATTTTTACTCCCTCCCCAATTGTTTTGGCTTTAAATAACACACAAAGAGTTGATAAACCGTAAAAAAAACAATCCATTAATATAACTATCAAGAGACTATTTTGAAACGTTGATTTTCTTTTTAAATAGATTCTTAAAATCTGCGCTATTTCTGAAGTATAACTTAATATATTTTAATGTTTCTAGTAAAATCTGCACTACCCAAGAGATATAACTACCAACAGAAAATTATTTACTAAGGAATTTTATTCGGTTGAGTCATAAATAATTTCCGTTTTTGTTTGTCACATTATTGTTCAAAATAATAAAATACAATTACATTTTAATAATTCTATATTCACTATTATTTCCAATGGCTTTTTGTCACTTCTCAGTCAATAGTTTTTGACCAAATTCTACAGTTTTCAGTGAACAAATGTTTTTGACAAATTCTTGTATCGTATTTGCCTGAGAAATCTTTTTACCCCGTCGAAACATTTTGCAACAATCGAAAAGGTCTAATCGATTTTTCCATGGTCAGGTGAATATGGCTGATTGGTTAGAACAGATCAATCGAGCCCAAATATGTTTTCTTATTTAATCCTTGCTCTATGTGTCCTTGTATTGCCATGGAGGAGAATAATATTTTTTATATTGACGAGCATAGGATTCTTTTCAACCAAAATATTTATGGACACGTTGCAGCTACTGGACGTATAAATGTGCATTTAGTGTTTCATTAATTCTAAGTAATACCCACCACACGCACATTACCTTTCTTCCATGGAGCTCAGCTTTTGTTGCCGGTTGTGGGGAATTATCTTTGTTAATCCACTGTTTTTGAATTAATCACTGTCGTATGTTACCCATTTTTCATCATCTTTTGAGTATATTTGAGGAACAATTAATTAGAATGATACATTCATCATTAAAATTGGTTCTCAAAAATAGAAATGATTTCTGACTCAACCAAAGTGTTTGCGCTGTGGATATTTCAAAGGCGAAATTATAAGAATTTAGTTTATAACCGATTAAGAGAGTATCTGTCTATATTTCTGAGATGAGGTAAAAAAAAACAAAAAACTTCTAAGCAAGCTATGCTCGTTACATGAGATGTTACACAATGTCCTCAAGGACACATGGCACAGTGGATAAAGGCGTTGGTTAAATCCAGTAACAGGACCCAAAGAGTGTGAGTTCAATACCCGGTTAAGACAGTGGAGAATTTTCAGAGGCAAATTAACAGGAAATAACTGATAACTGACATCCATTAAACATGGCACGTGGAACTAGAACAGTCTACCCTAGTGAGCGAAATAAAGGGTTCAGTTCGACATGCCAACTATTTGAAGAAGGCCGGAGCGTACAACGGCCGAAACGTTGTGATAAATAAAGATGAGGACAATAGTCCGAGTAATGTAAATAATGTACGATTAAGAGAAACTAAATAAATATATGCTACAGTTTATATGCAATGCTTCTAGGCTTGACTTAAATATCTACCATTGTTAAAATATAAAATATGGTAATTTTTGGCGACTGCAAGTCGTATCTTTTTTTTTTTTTTGAAACATGCATGCCATTCAAAAACTTATGCTCGACTGCTAGAATGTTTGTCAATGACATTTCAAGGCTCACAGATTTGGCAAGCTTCAAGCAAATCTTGATGCAGGCATCTTAGTTGAATTTGTCAGCTAATTCAGGACAACGTTAGAAAGCCTCGCGTAATAGTTGAACACAAGCACATACGCAAAAGACTGAATAATTATTTAATGTCTCCCGGTAGCTGATTTAGGGCCGCATGCAAAATTTGATGCGCATTGCTCGAATTTATTAGCTATCGTAAAGCTCGCACAGCCGTTCCGGTAGAATTTCATACTATTTCGCATAATCATTGAACACGAATAGAAATCAAGAAACCTATTGGTAGACATGAAATATAGGCTGCGAGAGTATTTCTGTTGAACGGTACAATTACAACACGTGCGATCTGTGATCTCTGCAATACCACCACCTATATATTTGACGGTACGCCATTGTTAAGAGAGGACACGCACCTAAAGGGAGGCTGATTAATATATCGGCTAAACCGTTGCATGAATAGCTATCGAGTTAAAATTACTCGTCCGAATAATGAATGAAATAATGAAAATACCTCATCTCAGAAGGTCAGACAGCATTACAATCCATTCAAATCTGAATAAATAGGACTGACAAGCGAACAATCCTGAACCATTTACAAAAAGCACACCAAATTAAGATTCTTAAAATTTGATAGCCCCGAGTCCACTCAGAACGATGCTTTCGCATCTGAATAAATAAAATAAAAAATAAATAAAAGATAAAAAAAAGAGGTAAGTTATTGCTAGTTTCAAATTAACTGTATAAATGAATTTGGTTTTTGAGCTAGTGAGGGAAACCAAAAATATTTTAATTTTTTAATCCTACCCAACTTCTCAAGAGCTCTTGTGCGATTTTTAAAGCTTATATAATGCCCTACATATGGCATCTTTCGAAGGTAATCGCTCTTAAATTTTTCAAGGACCTTGATTCAACTCTGTCTTGCGTTTTGAAGCATCGTAATTGAATACTGATGATCATGCATTTCTGTGCTTTCTCTCAATGAACAAATCACAACCCTTAAAACACTTTGATTTTGATTCGTACGGTCAGATATCATTTCACATTCTTCTACTTCATGAATACACCTTTCTTAGTATCGCAACGTTTCGACCGCTGTGCCCCCTTCTTCCTTCCTTTGCCGATCCGATTAACCCTCAAGGAATCCCTGGACTCTAGCCTACTGGACTAAAGCTTTGGTTCATGAATTTGGTGGCACAGTCATTAAAAGGGCAGCCCCTTCACCTCTGGGTCGGCTGACTCTGGTGATGTAATGGATAATGGCTCGGAATTGTTAATCGGAGAGCTGAGTTTCAATTCCCGTTGGGTTGCGTTATATTCACTTGCACGCAGATATCCTTCCCCCGGCCAATGTTATTGGTTGATTAGTAGGAATGGTATCACCAAATCATTATTATTCACCACCCCCAAAACAAAAATTCTTACAATCTAAAAATGTTTTCTGGATTTAAATAACCTATAAGTGGTTGATGAACCGTAAAAAAAATTGTTGAAACTTGATTAATGCATGGAATAATAATAATACAACACAAAATGTACTTAGAACAAAATGTATTGAAACAAGAAAGTGTACACAATATTTACATATAGTCTTTTGGCATATTCTTGGGAAGACCGTTCCTGAAGAATGGGTTGACTTAGTCGCAATCGGGCAGAGTATCTGGATTGGATCTCTTCTTACTTCCTTCCATCGTCTTCCCGGCACCAACCATATTTATATGGTCAGTACTCCACTATGTAAATTAGGTGGATCCTACCACAACAAAAATAATCGATTATGATGTATCCGAGAAATTTCAAGTGTCTTTATCTGATTCTAAGTTGGTTTAGTAATATTCACTTTAGGGAAATCTCCTTTGGAAAGTTATGAATCCACCTCTTTTACCTCCAGCTATGGGTTAATTAGCAAGACATGTATCACTAAATCATTATCATCTAAAAAAAATAAATTCTTACAATCGAAAAATATTTTCCGGCTTTAAATAACCTGCAAAGGGCTGATAAGCCGTAAAAAATGAATCAAATAAATCCAATGGATAAATAGCAGGGTAAACCGGGTTTTATAGCTTTGGATGGCAACTGGTCTATCGCAGAAAGAAATGGCAAACTTCTGCGGGAAAAAAAAATCTCGTCAGTTATGTATCAAAAGATACATGATCGCCTAAGCGTGTATCACTCATGGCACGTAACTGACTGGTATGGCGTGTAAAAGTTGAAGAAACATTATCTCGCAGTTTACTCGTCAGTATGGTCACGGGTGACATGTTGGCGGAACAATTGGTTGTCTAAGCGCATATTCACTTTTTCTGTTGATTTGTGTCCGTGCGGGTTTAATTTCAATGCACACGTATTAATATAGGTGTGTGTGTGTGTGTGTTTTAATTTGATGAAATATGGTGATATAAATGTATATATGTGTGTATGTTTAAGCAAATTGCTTGTATGGCGAAAAAAAAAAGATACATTAAACAAAAAATATGCAGGAGGCTGTAAAAATCCTTCGCTTCTCCCATTGAATTTTTAATTCCAATTCATCTTGGATTAGGTAACATTAAGGACTCTGGTGACAGTCACCCATTAAAATTGTTACTAACCCTCTCGCACGCCTACGCTTACAATTCTCCCTCCTTCGTTACACCCTTACCTCATCTTCACTCATCTCCAAATACCTTTTGGCCCTCTTGTCGCTAACTATTCCTTTTTCTTTCTTTTTTTCTTCGAGAGAATTGCGAGATTCCCTGAGGGTGGCATTAGTTAGAATCGATGAGTGGGCTATAAGAGATGGTAGGCTGAGGGGAAAGAAAGAGGATCCATAGGGTTCTTTCAAGAAAAGAGTGTGCTCTCTAGTCATCACGTTTGAAATAGCAGCAACATCAGTCAAAGGAGAAAATAGGACTCGGTTCGAGAGAAGAACATGGAAGAAGAAACAAAAGTCAATTCTGAGTCATCAGTACTAAATACGCTATTGGACATATTAGCATTGTTGATATCTGAGGCATTGTTGTCGGAAGAAGACGGTCTGCATAAATATGATTTTAACTCTTTTTCCCGGCACCGCACCTTAGCCACTGTGATGCGTGTAAGGGTGTCGACGTGAGAACTTCGAAGAAAAGAGATGCAAAAACAATAAGGAATGGTTGGCGGGCGGTGGCCGCGCTGGTAATGGTGGAAAAGGAGACGCTCAGGAGAGATAAAATATGAGAGGTGAATAAAAAGTGTAGGGGCGAATTGGGTAAGACTGAAAGAGACAGACAGATTGTGGACTGAGAAAGGTGACAAGTGGCTAGGTTTAATTCTTTATCCAATACGCAAACTCTCATGTCCCTTTTACTTTAAACTAAAAAATAAATAAATAAATAAATGCACTCAGGAGCTAACCCTTAATTAACCTTTTTGATACTGTACTACTCTCCACCGGCTTTTCAAATATTCGTTCTATTTGTCCGGGATCTGTCAGCTATAATTTAGCGGCCATCAAATAATACCAGAAAATCAAAATTGCAAATCTTGAATTTTAAGCTCAAATCTGTTTTCTGTATTAACACCAACTACAATCATATTTATGAACTATGAACAAAAAGAGACAAATCTTTAGCTTTTTTTTTTTTTTTACAAATTTTCTCTAAGCGCCAACATCTTCGACGTGTTACCCAATAATACAATGAACTTGAAAAGCAAAATGTCTTCCTGAGGGAAAGAAATAAATTGGTAGAAAATTAAGTTCTTTTGTTTCCGACGCAAAATTCCTAATAAAAAAAAAAAAAATAGAAGCGAATTTGTCTGCGAAACAAATTTGCCATCTTCCACGCTACAGAAGGCGCCCAATTATATGCACCGCATCTCCCAATATTAGCTACTTTTGTTATTTTCTAATTTTAACAAATTATAGAAGAGATTCATGGAAATATTTTCACTGTTAATGTTCAGGATATTATACTTAATATGTCCATGAAAATAATAGGAACAAATAACTAAATTTAAATTACCGCAAAGTGGTAATATTGAAAATTAAATGAATTTAGAAAGTTAAAAATTAACAATAGTAGGCACTGAAATATATCAAACTCTAATTATGCATGAACCTAAAAGCTACTCTCTGCTTACAGACGGGAAGGGCTTAATATAAATAAAGTCTAAAAAAAAAACATAAAATCTGATTTAGCTTTACTCAGTACAAGCTCTGATTATAGGACCAGGAACATTGGTAATTATTTAGTAGTTGTACGCATTTCTTGTCTTCGACTGATCTCTGAGGAAAGAGGAAACGGTTGAGTTGTTTTTGTTTTGTTTTTTTTCCTTTTTTGTTTATTTATTTATTTGCTTTTTGATATTACAATTTTACGGTAATGTAAACTTCTTGTTATTCAATCTTGTTTTAATATATCCGTTTTAAACGCTGACAGTAAATTCTTTACTCCTTTTAAAATATTCACCGAATATATATAAATTATAATAGACTACATATTATTCTTACGATGTAGCAAGAGTTTCATGTATTTTACCTGATTTTCCATTATTACCCAGTTTAGAGAAACCTTAAACGCACTGCTAACTCATCCTAACATATCTGACTACAGATTTAACCTAATAAATGCTAGTTTGATGAGAAAAGAAAAGGGGGCGTCCTGGGTATGACGTTAAGCTAAGGTCTCTGATCAGGAGGTTTTGAGGAACGTGGAACCACCTCTTAATTGCTGGTGTTCCCATGTCCACCCTGATCCGGAGTGGTAGCACCTGTTAGGGTCCAGCTATGGGCAAATAGTTAACTATTACCAGCAATACAATTTTGAAAAAAATATATTACCAGAAACAAATTTTTGACAAAAGAAAATATTACCAGCAATAAAAAATTTTGCCAGCATTAAAATAACCCACTGAGGTTGATATGCCGTAAAACAAAATAAATCAAATAAATCTAAACCAAAGAATACATATTCTATTCATACGAATCTATCCTAAAAATGTTGTCGGCATTAAATAACCCATTGAGGTTGATATGCCGTAAAACAAAATAAACCAAACCAATCTAAACCAAAGAATACATATTCTATTCATACGAATCTATCCTAAAAATGTCGGCATTAAATAACCCATTGAGGTTGATATGCCGTAAAACAAAATAGACCAAACTAAAGAAAAGGGGTCCCTATGAAGAAAAGGAAAAAAGCATTGAAAGTGCATTGATATCAAAATTCTCTATGGGTATCCTTATACACAATATCACCGATCATCGCAAAAAGAAAGTAGCTCAATGCGGCATACAAACGAACAACGGAAAAATAAAACAGATCTACTCGAAGTGAGATAATTTCTGATCCAGCGGATGTTAAGGCTTCAATACGAAAAACAAAACTCCTATGCCTTGATAAAATTGCAATGCATTTCACTTATATACAACGTTTGTTTCTTATTCTGACCTGGCTTATAAATACATCACGTTGAAACATTGGTTCCCGTATAATCAACCAATGGAACCGGTCAGTATCGAAATGGGTGACCGCTTGGGAATACCAAATGCTGTAAGCTTGGATATGAGGTTGGGAGTAATGGATAATGGTTCACTTACACGCAGATACCTCTCCTCTTCTCCAGCTATTGGTTGATTAGTAGGACTTGTATCACCAAATTATTATTATTCACCACCCACAAAACAAATATTCTTACAGTCTAAAAATGTTTTCTGGCTTTAAATAACTTACAAAGGGTTGATAAGCCGTAAAGAATTATCAGTCATTATGTCTCCTAGAAATTTCAAATGTTTTTATCCGATTCTAAGTTGGATTAGTAATATTCACTTACCGGAAATACCTTTGGGAAAGTTAGGGATCCACCTCTTCTACCTCCAGCTATGGGTTAATTAGTAAGACTTATATGACTAAATCATTATCATAAAACAATCTTACAATCTAAAAGTATTTTTCGGCTTTAAATAACCTGCAAAGCCGTAAAAAAAATGAATCAAATAAATCAATGACACAGGAGTGTCTTTTAAGATTTATTCATATTCTCTGGAATATAAATGTATATAAACTACCGTGGTCTCAAAGTGAAGGATCAGTTTATGTAATGACTGTAATTTAAAATTGATCCCCTACTTTGTATCCATAGCATAATTTGTTGTTTATCAAATTCTACTATAGTGTGAATCCAGTTCTTCCCCCTAGCTATGGGTTAATTAGTAAAACTTGTATCACTAAATCATGATCTGAAAAACAAGTTCTTACAATCTAAAAATATTTTCCAGCTTTAAATAAATAACCTGCAAAGGGCTGATCAACCGTAGAAAATGAATCAATCAAATCACCCTGACCTTCTGTCGATAAAGAACCGAAACACGTTATCTGAACAAGCTTTTCCACTTTGTCTCATTATCACCAAAACATTATTTGTAATTTTAAAAAAAAACATCATAAATGAGTTCAAAATTTACAAAGAAAGTATTTGAACAAAAAAAAAAAAATTGAAAATAGTCTGAATGCAATGAGTAAATAATTATAACGAAAAGATTAATCGGAAATCGATTCGTCATGCACCGAAACTAGTTTTATAATCAGTTTAATTAATTTTCATGAACTACTTTCTTTATGTGAAAAAGACTGCACGGCCTTAATAATAGGATTCAGTCAGTTATGTGCCATGCGTGATACACGTTTAGGCGATCATGTATCTTTCGATACATGACCGACGAGGCAGATTTTTTTCCCGCCGTACGTTGCCATTTCTTTCTGAGGTAGACCAGTTGCTATCCAAGGTTACAGAACCCGGTCTACCCTGCTATTTACCCATAGCTGGGTGGGCGGAGAAGAGGATCCATACTTTTCTCAAGGGTATTAGCACGTAAGTGAATGTAATGGATTCGACTGGAATTCGAACTCAGCTTACGGATTCCTCAATCCGAGCGGCTATCCATTACTCCTAATAATTCTCATCAGAAAACATAAACCTCCCCACTTGACTTTGCCCTCCAGATTTTCATTAGCCATTTTATCTATATATTCATTAGTTTGCTTCGCCAAATGTGATAGTGTTTTCGTGCATAAAATAATATCTTCTTTCTGAACGCGTTTGGTTCCTACTTGAACCATGACTCCGTATATGTCTTCAATATAATAAAAAAATCAGTGTGTCTGAGATGTTATCTAAACACCATCTGGAGCTCACCATAGGCCCACCACTTTATCACCTATAAAAAGGTGGAGATGGCGTGATGTTTTGGGGTGAAACCCTAAAACATCACACAGTCTCCGCCTTGTTGACGTCTCAACCTGTTAGGCCTGTTACTGTCATTTGCCACGCGGCTTATTCTCCATCTGTGTATCCCATCGATGGGAACACGACACACATCGATGAACAAAATGGTTGAAAAAATGTATCATCATGTATTCTGTCGATCTATCCATTCCGTTTTCTTATATATATATATGTATGTTTCTAAAAGAGGCCTACTGATCGCTTTCACAAGGTTTGCCACTTGCTTTAGTTATGGTCATCTTGTTCTTCCCTGAACACCCTCGTTGCCACAACAGTTACAAGTTACATAACTTGATGAAGACGCGTATTTTTTTCGCATCTCTCTTGATAGACGAGATCAGCGAGATAAACTTGCCCTTATTCATCCTACATCCAAGATCTTCAACGAATTTCTTCACTGTTCACTAATACGTGCCGAACATATTTTTTAAATTCCAGTCTTGTATTGCATACTCTGAAGTTATCAAACATTTGTCTTCATCCATCAAACCAGCCCTACGACCCAATTTAAGGCTTGCAACGTTATTCTTACGACCCAATTTGAGGCATACAATGTTACTCATAATTTGAATCTTCGAAATTCGGGATAGTTTATGCAAATGGTTGTCATTTGTTTATATCTGCGCAGAATGAACCAGCTTTCATCCTATTTGCGCAGCCAGACGTTGTCATCATTGAGTAATAAAACATTTAGATTCAAATATGTATTATTTTTTTATAGCGACAAAAGATGAAATTGCCTACTCGTGTGACACACAATATCTGTCTTTCACACACACACATATATATATATATATATATATATATGTGTGTGTGTGTGTGAGAGAGAGAGACGGTGCAGACAAAGGAATCAACACAAAGTTTTACGGTTCAATGCTATCTTCCTCGCAAATCTGGTGATTGCATTGAGGCGTGAAACTAAGTTTTGATTCTTATCTCTTATATAAAGCTCTCTTCCCTTAAATATGGAAAATTTTAGATATATATATGCATACAGGACGTACAGATTCTTTTTCATTGTTATCTGCGAGTTGCTATGACTTCTTGGAAAACAGTGGATTGGTTTCTCGTTTCCATCTTCTATTTTTTTTTTATTCAGAGAGTCGTCCTTCTCTTAGACTGGCTGCCACACAAGGCTATAAAGAACTCAAACAAACCAGCTGTTTTACTTACCCTGTGGCTGAGATGAGGGAAGTAAGAAATATTCTTGTCTGTTCCTAAGAGTATTAATACGAAGATTAGCGCAACTGATACCCCGGAATTTGAAATCGATTTCACTTTCCCAGTCGATGACAGTCATGCTACCCGAATATCCTTGGGGTGTGAATGTTCCCTATGAAAAGGCAACGATGTATTTGTAGTCTGTGGAGAGAGAAATATTTCATTCCAAACCACCTCCGTCTTGAAATCCTTTGAGTTGATATTTTTCGAACCATTCTGCAGAAATGGCTCAGTTGAAACATGTCAACAACACCAAGAATACAAAGGAAGATTTGAATTTTAAGAACCAATCTTGGAATGGTAGCGATTCTTTAACTTAGGTCGTTCCTGATTTTCATTTACTTTTGATTTGTTTATAGTTCTCGCAAACACACGGCAAACTGGAAACTGGATTTTTGTATATATAAAACTTAGAGAAAAGATATTCAAAAAACAGTATTGCCTTTTAAATAAGTATTCGTTATTTTAAACATTAAATTATTTTTAAATAGTTGGATTATTTTGTATGTTAAATAGTGTAAAATAAATAAATGGGAAGAAGGGTGGTGGAGGGAAAAGAAAGCAAAAAACGTTTGATCATAATTCCTAAGACCAATGAATTTGTTCGATATTTATTTATTTATTTTTTGTTAAGCAACGCTTCATATGAAAGGAAACTTTTCTTGCCATTACTTACCTGTTATGTCAAACTGTTCGTTGAGAATGTAAATCTTTCCGCGTGGTGTCCATTTGTTGCGTGCTTGGCGAATTTTTTGCTTCAGGATCGCCTGCTGGAATAGTACTTTTTCGGTGGGATCTTTTGGGCGAACAAGTATGATTTTGCAAGACCCGAAACTTGGCATGACCCCAAGTCACTGACGAGGTGATCCTGTGCACTCGTTGGAGTGTTTTCATGACAAACTTTTAATTCCAACCGAAAAAAAATGAAAAATTTATTGTACTAATAACGCAGCCTAGTAAAACCAACTGTACTTTGTACCCACCCACTTACCTGTTTGCACTTCTTCCCAAAATTTGGTCAATGCTATTTTTTAGTGTGTGGCAGAGGGACAGACTAATGGAAGTTACAGAATTTTATATATAAATTTCAGAAAGAAAAAACTAGCAGTGCGTATGAGGCTTAGAACTCTTGAATATTATTTTTAAGTCACTTCATAATTGCTTGTTTTGAATGTCATGGAATTATCAAGATCAAAAGCATTTTGAGATTTGCTGATGTGATCGGCAAATGCTTCATTAACTCAAAGATTTGATTCTGTAAGAACTGCTGCCTTCTGATTTAAAAGGCGTCAGATTTTGGTAAATATTTAATTTGAGTTTCACATTGAATTTTATGGTTACATTTTTGTGGACGTTTTGTTGTTGGCGTGAAAAAATACATCAGAAACGTTAGCTTTGGTACAGGGTTAAATTTGGTTAGGAAGACAGTTGCGCCAATTTTACATCTAATTTGAAAATCAGCATTTATAATTGATATTTACCTTAACTGTTAGCAGAAATCTCTGAAAGGTGGTGAGAAATACGCACCTGTCTTAACCACGAGGTAGTATACAGACTGATACTTTTTTTTCTCTTTTCTCGTCGGAGATTTCTGTTGATAATACAACATCTGCTTTTTCAATTTAGGAAAGTTATATTCCTTTGACACTTTCTTATGAACTTAATTTTTTTTTTATTTTAATTGTCTTACTCCTGATTTATTCCCTTTCATTCTTTCTTTCCCTAAGGAAAAAAAAAATGGCTTCATTTAGAAATACTTCCACCTCACTCTTATTCTCTTTTCAGGTCACATCTTTTTCTTTCTATTTTTTTTTTTTCTTTTTAGTTATTTCCTCCCACTTCTCCAACAACATTTCATTATTTTAACCGCTTAGATCCTGATTTCTAATCAAGTTAAGAAAAACAAAACGTTTGTCTGTCTCTCGGATTATTTCAGTTTGTTTCTCTTCATCTCTCAGTACCCACTCATGATATATGCTCTCTCATGGAGTATATATCACTACGATCTCCAACTAATCGTTTCTCACTCTCTCTCTCTCTCTCAAATATATAACGCACACACCTACTAGTGAGTGATGAAAAGTTGGCAGCCTGACTTAGAAGTCATTGGGCCAAGAAGTTTTCAACGCGCCTTTCTCTCTCTCTCTCTCTATATATATATATATATATATATATATATATATATATATATATAATATTATTTTCAGATAGTGTATCGGTAAAGGAACAAAAATGAATAAAAAGACGAGAGGAAAATCATTTTTAGCCGACGCGTTTCGTCCTCTGAGGGACTTTATCAAGGCAATGCATCGGCTAAGATTAGTTTTTCCTCTTGTCTTTTTATTCATATATATTATAATTTTATTATTACTGCAATCGTTATTATTGTGGACACTTATTTGAAATAGACGCTCCATTTTTATTTATTTACTAAACAATTTGTATAATATCTATCGGCCTGCGCTTTCGAGAAATCTAAGTAAAGAAAAATGGGGCTTCTATTTCAAATAAGTGTCCACTATAATGAAGTTTGCGAGATATATATATATATTAGTTACACATGTAAACAGTGTGTAAAATAAGTCTTGTAAGAGAAAAAAATGTCACCGAAAAATATATATTATATATATATATATATATATATATATATATATATTACATTTTTATTCGTTGAATTTTCTAACAAAATTTTATATTTTATACACTGTTCACATGTCTAACATCGATATCTTACCAACATTTTTTTTCTAACTACATTTATATATGTTACAAATTAAACAAATGACGAAAAAATTTTTACGTCATTCTGTATTTTTTATTTTGTTTTTACGTCTAAATCCGTGAATTTGTTTTGGTCGTGCTAAGTTTTGATAAAACACTATATACGATTCAGTATTCTTCATCATTTTAGCAAGAAAAATCTCAAGTTAATGTTAGAAATTACCGCAAAACATTGTTGATTTATTGAAAATAGTATGATCTATTGTGACATGTCTTTAATTTGTATTTAGATACATTGTATTTATTCTCATTTTTTTCTAGTTCAATTGTTTATCCACTGTTGTATATAATTATGTTAGAATTAATTTTGTATTTTATATGAATACTACCTTATGAAAATTCAAATGCAGTAGAGTCGGGGGTTCCGTATCATAGATTCGGGAGGCAGGAGACCCTTGCATCGATAATTGGCCCTGATAATGTAAATTAATATATTAATTAGTTCAACACTTTAATGATAAAAAAATATTTACAGAGCAAGGATGCTTTTTTTTCACCATGATTTTTCTGTCATTGCACTTAATATCGTTAAACGATTGGTGGCTATGTGCAAAGCATTATTAAAGCTAAATAATTTTAACATCATTTTGTCTTCTGTTAGTATTCTTCATCATCATCATCAGCATCATTTTTTCCCATTGATTTTTTTTTCTTTCTGTTTTTACAATCAGCATTTCTTTTATATGCAATGTCTTGTTACTTTCCGGACTTTTGGCTAGGATCAGTCGTGTCTACACTTCGGGCGTAGCACGACACAAAGAAAAGCGTGCTTCGTCCTCGGGGACCAATTTCCCAGACAGCACCTTCCCATTGCGTTAATGATGTAGGGTCAGATTTTGCCTTTACTCACATAGACGCGTGCGCGGCCCTACATTAATGTTGACCTTGTGTCATATTTGCACTTGTTGGGATGCACATAAATACGTTTAGTCTATCATTACTGGAGATTAATCCATTTTTTTGTAGGGGGGGGGACTTTTTTCTCATAAATGTAAGGGCTTATAATAAATCTGACTTCGGGCAACGCTCCGTGAAGTAATGACAAACTACTCTTTCTAACAATTCATTATTTCTCCGTTGTAGCTTCGAGCCTTTCCGGCTGCATTGCACTTGTGACCTTATATCCGACTAAAATACGCTTCGTCAGTACGTAAAGCAGATACATGCTTATCGATGTTAAAATGGGTTGCCTCGGCGTCCAACACTTTCAAATGCATATCATCCACAGCACATCAGGGAAATGAGGTTTTATCTATTTCATCTGGATATATTTGTTAAATATCTGAATTTGCACGTCGGATCTCTCGGTGTGGATTGCTGTCGATTTCCATCATCCGGACGGGCTCGCTCGCTATCGACTTCCTCCTCTAGGCTTCTTGTTCGGGCTAGCTCAGCTTGTTTTTTTTTGTTTTTTTATTCTCTCTCTCTCGATTCCCTTATCCCGACCTGGCTTGTTATCAGCCTCTCCATCTCGGCGCCGACTCGCTGTCGATCTCCCTCTCTCGGCGCCGACTCGGTGTCGGTTTCCATCATTCGACCCGGCTTCACTGATGGGCTGCTTTTCTCGACCCGGCTCGTTGTTGATCTCCGTCCATCTGCCGAATCTCTGTCGGACTCAGTTTCTCGGTCTGACTCGTTGTCAGTCTCCTGATCAGAGCTCTGTCTTTTCCAAAGTCTCTTTACTTCTCTTCAGAATTTTCACCTCCAACTATAACTTCAAAAAAAAAAATCTTCTACAGAAAATTCTTATCATTTGTACTGTTTATCTTTAAGGAGTTGCTGTCAGTCATGACAGACCGATTGAATAAGCATGCGAGTTGTGTACATTTATCCGGGCGGTCGACTCGGTTGGCAATGCTGTTTCTCTTTCTAAACCCCTGAAAAGTTGTTTTGGGAGTTTTGTCTTTTTTTGACTGGTAATCCATCATTTTAAACATTTACCTTCCTTCATTTCTTCTTTCCAAGTTGACGTCGCCAGCTCCTTTTTGCTTTGTCCATATCACATTGCAGCAAAGTTCACGAACTTGCTAACGCGCCAACTTGTATTTCGACGTCGACTCTCACACGCATCAACAACATATACAAACAAGCGGCGCGAAAGACTTTTACAAAGATTTCCATGTTTATTTACATCATGCTAAAAACGTGACACATAATGTTCTGATGAAATATCTTCACCGATTTTTTTTAATCGGTATCCATGCAAGGCAGTAAATGACAGAAGACAGCGATTGACAATGCATTTAAATATTTGCAGATTCATCTTGCTGGACAGCATGGCACCAGAAGGGAGTTCCACAAGCGAGAAGTGCACAGTTAAAATTTCTAAGGCACATGTCTTTATCCACTGGGCCATGTGTCTTCGAGTAAGTCTAACTTACGTTGTTAAAATTATGGCTGCCAATAATGAATCCTTGTCCTACGCCTCCTTTTATTTTACTTATATTTACTGAATTCATTTTCGTTTTACAAAAAAAAATGTTGCTGACTATCAGACATAGAAAAACTCGAACTTTTTGAAGGCGTAATAGGGAATGAAGGCTTGTAGACACTTACGGGGCGCAGCGAAAGCAGGTGGGTCATCTACTTGTTAAGTTTGAGAAAATAGTTTGAAAAACATGTGCCAACCACAGAAAAAAAAGTACTCCCCAAAGACACATATCCCAGTGGGTAAAAGCCTTGCTCGAATATTCCAGCGACATTACCCAAAGAGTTGTGAGTTCAATAACCACAGCAGAGGTAAACAGAAACCTGTAGAGTTAAATTACTAAAAGGAATTAAGTGAAAATGACATATCCAGAAAAGGCATAGCACATGGAACTAGAGCAATCTGCCACTACAGTGGACGAAATAAAGGGTTCGATTCTAACTATATCACCTGAAGAAGGCCGGAGCATACAACGGTCGAAACATCGTGAATATGACAAGAATGAAGATGAGGTCAACAGTCCGAACAATGTAAATAGTGTAAATAGTTACAATACCTCATCTACGAAATAGACAAATATTAGTATTAGGTTGGTGCAAAAATAATGACGTAATAATGTCGTTTTTTGATGTATTTTTAACGTCAAAAAACGACATTATTACGTCATTATTTTTGCACCAACCCAATAGTTGTAAAGGAGTAAATAGTATTGATATAAAAAAAACGAAAGGACGCTGTCGATAGCCGTCATTGACCAAATCCTGAAGAGATACAGAACATAAACAAAAAAAAATAGAGATGTATATATTGTATGTAAATATTTTTTTTGTACTAAATAGAAGTGCCGTATGTAATACTCATGCCGGTGAGAATTTTTCAATTCATAAAATAAACGTGCCTGTTTAAATAAACGTTTCGCCGGGAAAATTATGTTTAATAAGCGCAGAATAAAATAACGTGCCGCAGAGGCTGTCGGTATTTCCATGGCGAATGTTCTGACAAGCTACATTCATTCGTTCTACCAGTTCAGACCTTTACCGTTAAGACCTACCATTGGGGGCGAATCATCCCCATTCACTTGCGTTATAGCACTTCCTCGATAGTTAATTCTTGTCAATGCACTTAATTCGGTAGTTAACATTAATCTCGGATATCAAAAACTGAAACTGAAATTATACTCATAATTATGTTTCCGGCGATGGACTTAATGATCCATTTTCGTTCACCCATACAACGTACTTATTTTCAGACTACGCTGAAAGCACAGGCGGAGATTTTCTTTTTACACCCACTCGCCAACATTTTTCAAACGAGTTAAAGAATGCTACGGAGGAAATGATTTGATAGATGAGGTCCCGTAAGTTTTTCATGGGTTCCCCACTACAACCAAACCTTTCTCACACAAAGAACTGGCCACGGGTAGGAAAGAAATACACACACACATATATATATATATATATATATATATATATATATATATATGTGTGTGTGTGTGTGTGTGTATGTGTATATATATTGTGCGTGTGTGTAAAAATATAAACAAGTATGAAAAAAGCAAGGCTTACAAAGAGGAATGGCAATAGAAAATATATATTGTTTGTATGCATCACTTTCTCTTCATTTTTTTCCCTCTTTGAAGTAGGCATCTTTCGTGTTTCCGTTTTACAAGTTTCAAAGGAACTGATGGAGTATTACCCACAAGCAGAGATACCGTCGTCAACAAAATTATTGTAACCCGCTTTTAAATTTGAAAATGAAAAGCACCGTTTCTATGAACCTCCTCCCGATACACAGCCATCGAACCATCCTCTTCTGAAAGGCAGTGACGGGTAGAAAACAAAATAAAGGACATTCTGTAGGTTGCTATTCGTACTTTAAATCTTTTCACGCCTTGAGATCTTACTATCTTTATTTTTTAATCATTTCACCCCAAGCAAGGCGCTAATGCAAACTAAGTCGCAAGGTGTTACTGAAAGCAGAAGAGAATGACAAGATTTTACTGAGGAGAAAAGACACTAAAACAAAACAGGGTTCAGCGGGAAAGAAGATGGCGATTGACGTTGCATTTGAGTGCATTTTAAGATGTTATCATGACATAAATCAATTCATGCGTTCATTTTTATGTCATAACATCCTAGAATGCCCCCCAACATATTTTTGATAGTTTTTTATTTTTATTTTATCTATTTATTTGGTTGGGTCTGGGGATACACTTATGCATAATGTCAAACAGCGCCAAACAAGCTCTATACCAAAACATATTTTCCCCTCTACCATCAATCTATAACCTCGACAGGGAGGAATTTCACAAGGAAGACTCTTAAGTCATACGCCGATTGATTCCGAAAAAAAATTGCCGAGACAGGTTAGTTATTTTTATGGTCGTATAGCCTGAGATCATGAGATCCGTGTTCAAATCTCACCAGAGTCGATTTGTCAGTGAGGTGATTTTTTAGTGTTAGGTAAACGGAACTATTCAGAAGCCGTAGTGGTTGTAGCTAGCACGAAGTCATCAAGTCATCGTGACTGAGGGTTTGAACGTTGAATCTGCTGACCACCCCCAGAATAGCAGTATTAAACTTACAGCAATCGCCATCTGTCTAACTCTCTGCATTAGCAGGGAGGAACCCGGACGAAGCTTTGCCGAAGGGCAAGGTTTCGTTCGGGGAGGTTGACAGCTCTCGAACCCGCCTAGGCCGGTTCGAAGACTATGTTTTTGGCCGGGCCTACGGGCCCGGATGACCCACATTAAACTCGGCCTTGTGCCACATGCTACCCCACGTGGGGGGGGGACAGCTAAATATAGCTGACAACCCCAGATTCTCTCTCTCTCTCTCTCACTCACTCACTCACTCACACTCACACACACACACACACACACACACACACACACACACACATTTGCTGTATAGATAACAGGTGGGCTGGGTGTTTATTGAACAATCGGCCGGGATATTAACATAAATCAAAGGCTTGGATCCCTATTTTAAATAAAGTGCCCCCTTTCTACATGAAAGCATAAAATAGATCCTCATGAACGCGCCACTTTTAGAATTGTTTCAGTTCTGCTTATTGCCATCTCTTATTTATTTATAAAAGCTAGATCGATGGTTAAGGTCAAGTTTGGAGAAATTAAAAATTGAGGTTTATTTCCGATGGGACAATTGTCTCAAATACGCTTGCTATCAGACTTGGTCAGGAGCTCCTGTAATATATCTAACGATTCAAGATGAAACCCAAAGAACGGTCTGACTTTATCGGTCTTGACCTGGCATCTCAACTCCAGTTAATTTCCCACCGCCGTAATTCGGCTTTCATCTATTTTTTTCTATAATTAATTTTCATGAGAATTGTTCTAATGAGCTCTCCCTGGGTATGACGAT